GGGAGTGGGTGTGTGTATGTGTCTGTGTGTCGTGTGTATGTGTGCGTGTTTGTGTGTGCGCAGGCTCGTGAAAGGGTTTCTTCACTTCCCTCCCCCCTACCTTCTCCGTTCTCACCGTTCCCCCTCACCATCCTCCTTCCCCATCCCCTCATCACCCTTACCCACACCTTTCCATCCCACCCCCTCCAAAAAAAAAAAAGAAAATGACGTATCTCTTTTCTCAGGAGATCTATGGGTTGGCAGGGACACAGGTGTGGTTTGCTTGCTTCATCTTTCAAATATCTATCGGCCTTATCTCTCCTGCTTCTTTCCTATCAAACATCTATCGTCTTTATCTTCCCTCTTTCTATTCTATCAAACATATTATATCCTCCTTATCTCTCCTCTTTCTTTCCTTAGTAAACTAACACCTCTAACCTAAGCCTTCTGTATCGCGACCTCAGTGCTTTCTTGTTCTATCTCCATTTTTTTAAACAGTGAAAACAGTTCATAACAAAGAGTGAGCTTAATAAGAAGTCATGTTTTCAATGTTTTTAAAAAAATGGAGTGGGTGGTAGGCGGGTGCTTTGGAGTGTTTTGCTCCTTCTTTCCTATCAAACATCTGTCGTCTTGATCTCCTCTCCTTGATCTGCCCTCCTTCTTTTTTAAGTTTGTTACTCCCTTGTAACACCTCTAATCTTCTGGCGCTCATATGATCTTATGCAGTTGAGAGCGCCGTAAAACCTCTACTAATGCAAACAAACTACGAAATGGAGATACGACAAGAAAGCACTGAAGTAATGGTATGACCTAATTTTGTCGCGAATGCCGCAAAACTCTAAATGACTCCATCTCCCCCACCCCACCCCACCCCACCCCCCGGGTGCCCCCAGGCGACCTAGTGGTGGCGGACACAGAGAACCACAGGGTCCAGCTCTTCAGCCCCGACGGCGCCTTCAAGCTCAAGTTCGGAGAGAAGGGCACTAAACCGGAACAGCTCTGCTACCCCATCGGCGTCGCCATGACAACCACGGACAACATCGTGGTCTCTGACAGCGTCAACGCGGCCATCAAGATCTTCACGCCGCACGGCAGGCTAGAGTGGTGGGCCGTCCACTCCAAGTCCATCGAGTTCCCGTACGGCGTGGCGGTCACGTGCGATGACGAAATAGTCGTCACGGACATCTGCAAACATTGTGTCATCGTTCTGGACGCTTCCGGGGAGGTGAGCCACTCGTTCGGTTGCTATGGCGACGCGCCGCGGGAGTTCGACCACCCGTACTGCGTGACCGTCAACTCCAGCAAGCAGATCATCGTCTCCGACACGGGCAACAACTCCGTCAAAATCTTCCACTTCCAAGGGCGACTACTCAGGTGCTTTTCTTCCTCGGACTTCCACTTGCCCCCGGAGACGTTCGTCTCTCTCTACGGCGTGTGTACGGACGGTGATGATAACACGCTTGTGGTGTGTAACTCGGCCGTGTACATCCTCACGAAAAACGGGCGCCTGTGGGAAGTGCTCACGGCCAAAGATGGACTCACCTCGCCTCGCTGCATCGCCTACTCCGCCGTGGGACGCCTGTTGCTCACACAGGCTGGGTATGACGTCAGACACGAACTGTGCATCTTCCGGTACAACAAGGAGGACTTCAAATCCCTCAACCGGCTCGTCTACTACGCAATATCTATATAACCACCGGGGTACCTAGCTTGTGTAACCAATTCATTCGTTCATTACTTCTACTAGTGTCTAGGTTTTTCTCAACTCATAACAATAATAGTGTAAGCCTCGAGGGGTTTGGGGGGTTTTTTGTTGTTGTTTTTTTTTGGGGGGGGGTTGTTCATATTTTTATATAGAACTGTTAATATTGTTCATTACTATAATTATTATGATCATTATTATCTTCATTTTCACCATCATCATCATCATCATCATCATCATCATCATCATCATCATCATCATCATCATCATCATCATCATCATCATCATCATCATCATTTT